AGTGCCTGAAAGGGCATAATGAACCAGGACCCTGACCAGGACTGCAGGAAACCCTTTTGGTCTTAGTAAAGAGACTAAATTTCAGAGCTGCTCCTTCTTGATCTTATGAAAGAAAAGCAGGCCACACGGCTCCCCAGGGTGTGTCACAGTACAACAGGTACTATGCCATCTTTCCCTGACTTGGTGTTTTCATCCTCTGATATGTAAACCATAGAGGAAAATGCTTGGTTTAGAGCGGAGGCTGCGCAAATGTGACTGTTGCTAGACATCAAGGGTGAACGTATTTTATTATAGGGAGACTACTAATTTATTTCCCTATAACTATTAACGTAGCGTACTTAGAAAAAGCCTCCTGACACGATTTTGGCACAATCTAGACGGGAGACGAACAGGTGTCATAACTTGTCATGTCTGAGCACAGTACACCTACTCGTCCCTTTCTCTTTCTGCGCCTGCTTTCTAATTCACGTTGCAGACTAAAACTTCGTTTTGCTGCGGGATAGGCCGCCTGCCCGGAGCCCCCGGGGCGGTCCGGCGGCTGAGCTCCCGGCGCGGCTCCAAGCGCACCGGAGCCTCCTCGCCCGCGCTGGCGGTGAGTGAGCGGCCGCGGCCGCGCCGCCCGCTCCGGGCACCTGCTGGCTCCGGGGGCTGGGGCGGGGACGGTGAGGAGCAACCTGTTGCGCTTCGGGAAGAGGAATCGCCTTTCCCGTGCGCTGAGCCTGACTTTGTAGTTGTTAACAGATGCGGGGCTCCGCTTCGGCTCGCTCCTTGTGCTCGCTGCGGGGCAGCCGCTCGACTCGCTCCGCTCGGCCGGGAGCGCAGCTGGCGTGCTGGGAAGGTCTGCCTGCCACTCGTGCTCTCGTTGTGCGGCTGAGGGGGGCAGCGGTAGCAATCGTAGCAAAGCGGTAGCAAAGCGAAAGACCCGAGGGCATGTGGGCAGAAAGCAGGTTCCTGGGAACCAGAGGTTTTCCTCCAGGGTGGGTGTCCCCTTGTTGCTATATCTGCCTTCAGCCAGATCGATGGGATGTGCTGGGAATCTCTGGGGTGCGTAGGCAAACATTTTAATGGAGGTGCATGCTACAGCATAGGTTGCAAGTTAGGAAAACTAACATCTTGACCATAAAGGGAAACTGAGAGAACAAATTGAGCATTCAAACAGAAGTGACATTTATTAGCGTGCATGATGGCCTGTCTCCTTGGGATCAGAATCCTATAGGTAAGTGCTGAACAAACACACAAAAACACAGATTTTGGAAGAACTTCTTACTGTCCAAGGACAGTCTCAGTTCTCGTGTGCTTAGAAACAGCATTGTGTATTCCTACCTAAAGCAGACTGGCTGAGGTCTGGAGTGATACACCTTATCCAATAGATCAAATGTATAATTTTGAAAATAAACAAATATTTCTAAGCTTTTGACCTGGGAGTAAAATGACCACGGGTTGAATTTCAGTAGGGAAAATAGTGTAAGTGTAAAGAGATCTACGGTATAAAGGATGTCATGGCAACAAGAAAGCATCATACAAAGTAACAATATTATCTTGTGGAGGGAAAAAAGGAGTAGCATTGTATTCATCTGTACCATGCAGTGGATTAAAATACTGTAATTTAGGGTGGGGTTTTGGAGTGGGTCTTTTTAATAATACACAAACTTTGCAATTAGATGGCTTAAACCCAGATAAGGATTATATGGCTAGAACTCATCAGAAAAATGCACAGTGCAGTTGAGGGATGGGGTTTATTGGTTGGTTTGTGGGGGTTTTTGTTTTGTGTTTTTGAGGGCTTGTTGAGTTTCTGTTGTTCTAAACAAAGTTGTTGTTCTTGTGGCTTACAACTGAGATGAATTCTTACTCCAGTCAGAACCCTGTATCAGATTCAGGTTGCAAGTGTTTCACCTAAATTGAAAGGTTGTATTAATTTTTGCTTAATCTTTGCTTTTCCACAATCTTTCTGAAAGGAAAGATTTTCCTTTTTTCGACTCTAAAGTAGTACTATATTGGTGTTTTTTATATTAATGAATTTTCATTACATTAAGCCCACTAAACTTCATAAAGTGCAGGACAGATGGGAATGACAGATTCTGAATTTTTTAGTTTGGTAATTTGCTGGGGGTTTTTTCTCAATTTTTTGGTCAGTTTTTTGAAAATGTTAGGGGTTTTTTGTTGAGAATGCATAACTATTAGTTTGTCTTCTTCATGTATGCCTTTTTTTTTATGAGAGTTTTTTTAATGAGAGAATAGGGTTTCTGAAATCACATTTCAACACTAAGAATAAATCACTTGGAACTAGTTTCCAAAGCAATGGCAGAACATAGTAATTCTTGAGACATTTTCCACCAGCAGCTTTTTTTTCCTTTCCCACTTGCACCCATACTCTCCCTAGGAGGTATGGGGGGGGAGGGAAATGAAGTGTAATATTTCAGACCTTGTAACATCAGTGTTTTGGTCTCATCCCCCCAGCTTTGTCCCTTGAATTTCTTCTTTTTTGTGGTAACTTCGGTTTGTCTGCCACAGTTTACTTTTTAAAGCTTGTCTGAGGAGAATTTTTGGGGTGCAGTGCTGAAGGAGGACTTTGGTACAAGTGATGGTATGCATGTGTACTTTTTGGTTGTTTTTTTCCCCCAAAAAAATCTATATTTTCTGGCTTTCCTTTTTTTTTTTTACACCCTTGTAGAAATTGTCCGGTTGTTTTTTTCCCCAAAAAAATCTGTATTTTCTGGCTTTCCTTTTTTTTTTTACACCCTTGTAGAAATTGTCGATACTGATGTTTCACACTTATTCATTACTTGTTACATTTGTACTGAATAATCCCAAGAGTTGGCTGCTGTTTTATTACTTTGTTAATTCCTGAAGAATAATTGGTAATATTATTTCTTTACCAAAATGATCAGGAAGGGAGTTTGTGGGGGTGGAATGGAGGAGTGTTAAATTTTATTTACCTTGTTTTGATATCAGTGTTTGAGTGATAGAGAAGAAATTGCTATATTGACAGGAACTGAAGAAGTGAAGAGTTTTTGAGATAGAAAAAGTTTGCAAGAGCCAATGCTGCCTACAGGACACACGTGGCTGATTCCAAATGATCTCTAGCTGTGATCTTTGTTTCGAATAACCGTGCTTTCATTTTGAGTGAAGGCATTACATATTGAAGGAGTGAAGTATGGTTATAGCTTTAGAAATTAAGCCTTTTCTGCTTTTTTTTTCTCTCTCCATCATCTACTTGTGTAACTCTGGAAAGGGAAAAGAGCATGGAACCCCCCTATTCAAACTGATAAAAGTTTTGCCATGCAAATCAGCAGATCACATTTTGGATCACGCCTAATTTCTGCCCATAGAGGGAATTGTTTTGGCATTTTCTGCCAAGACCTCGGGATTCATGTGTACTTGCAGCCTCTGAATTATGTGAGTTTTCTAACCCATTTTCAGCAGATGCTTCACAGTGTTCTAGTTCAATAAAAACTGAGATAACTGGCTGCTCTGCTCTACAGTTTCTGATCACAGCAGATTTTTCTATTTTGTTCAAATATTAAATTGCTTCTGAGGTGAAATTTCCCCCAGGATGTTTACAGTAGCTAAGATACAAAATGACAAGTGAGAAACATAAGAACACATGATATAAAACTTTACTTTGCTGTGGCACCAGTGAAATTATAGCTGTGACCTAGGTCATTGGTCCTGTCTTGGATGCTGAGAATCAGATGTACAATGTGCGAGTACAAATGACTGAGAAGAAGTAATCTGTCCCTTTATGGCAGAACAGAACTCTGTATGTGGGTGAAGAACATTGTATATACAGGTGTAATCGACTGAGTAAAGAGCTGAATTTCAGATTTGTTATGGAGCAGATTGAACAAAATTTAGTTTGACCTCTGAATTTCGTATTTTTGAATTTGATAAATCTGATGTCACTTTCCCTTTCTCATTTATGATAGCAAAAGCACCTTTGCCATGAGGCTGGCTAGTCTGGTGAGGAGACTGTTAATTTAGCAGTGATGTGGGAGGCACATTACAGCCCTGAGTTTTATGATAAAATGGTGGAGCAAGGACAGAAAGCAAAAGTACAGGGTGTGGGAGGGACAAGGCAAAGCTTGGGCATGTTGAAGTAAGGGTGCAGAGTGTGTACCTGTCTGCACAGTGCTTGGGATTTGAGCAGCAGGGGCAAGAGCTGCAGCATTGCTGGGATACCTGTGGTGTGGTAGTGCTGTGATTGATGGAGACAAGCCCTTCAGGAGAGGCAGACAGGGAAGAGGAGTAATAGGGCTGTCCTTCATGTGGAGGAGCAGCTCAGATGTGTAGGGCTCAGGTCAGTGTAGAGCTTGTGGGTCAGAGGAGGGTTTGTTGAGTGTTTTGGGATGTGTTACAGATCACTGATCAGGGTAAGGAGGCAGATGGAGCTTTCTCTGAACACCTCCATCCTCTTTGGGAAATGTAATACATCACAGAACCAGTCATCCAGGAGATTGCTGGAGGTTAAGGAAAACATTTTGTCACTGGATGGTGCTTGAAAAGCACACTGTGACCCTGTCCATACAAGGCTGACTTGTTTGCTCATTTTAGCTATTGTATAATTTTTTTCCAAACAATAGCTGAAATATATTTGAGCTACTTTCTGCTGGCAAGAAGAAACAATGTTCTTACAAGAATTTATTGCTGCAGTTCTGGATGAAGGCATGGTGGCGCAGGTGCTGTAATTGCTGGTGATGAGGGGGAGGTGTCTGCGTGCCCCTGTCCTAAAATGAGTTTGTCCTGCAATCAAGGAATTTGTGTGGCACAGTGTGGCTTGAAGGCCAAGTCATGTGTGCAGTCCAACACAGCACAAGCCAGGGTGTACTCAGATTACCTGGTGTGTGGATCACTGACTCCTTGATGTACAATGGTCTTCCTATCAGGATCCCTGTAGGTGAAGGTGATGCAGTGACAGCAGACATAGATAAGGCAGGTCCTCACCACCCATGTCTGCTGGGCCTCTGCACTCACTGATTTGGCTGGAGGAGGAGAAAAGCTGGTCATCAGCCTGAGGTAAAACCAAGGAAGGAGACCTCCTGGAACCCACATCTGGGCACTTGAAGGAGCTGACAGCGACAGGAAACAGTGAGTAAGGATTTACCAAGGACCAGCCGTGCAGGATCCAGCCCTCATGCCTTCTGCAATGTAGTTGGGATGAGAGGAGAGCAGTGGATGCCAACTGCCTTTGCTGTAGCCAGGCTTCTGTAGCTGGGCTGTGGCATTGTAGTCTGGGTGGGATGATGTACTGGTGGGGGTGGAGTAGTGGTGGAGCCAGGGCTGGGGGAAAGTGGGCTTTTTCCTGGCTTGGGGGTTTCACATCCCAACTGGGTGAAGCCCTGAGCCACCTGATCTGTCCCTATCAGCAGCAGCTGGAACTAGATACCTCCCCAAGTCCCTGCCAGCCTGAGTTACCTTGGGATTGTGTAAATCTACATCAGAAAGTCCTTTGAGAACTAATTTACAAGATGCTCACTAGAACAGATAGTAACTGTTGCTTACACTTTGTCTGCTTGAAAATCTTAGAAGCATGCCTACCCTCATTATCAGATGTGAAAACACACTTAGGAAAAATAAAAATGGTAGTTCAAGCCCAGGGCAAGGACCGGTAGAATAATTTGTTAATACTGTAAGATGGAAAATAACATGCTGTCTCTGAAGGAAATATTTATTTTTGTTGTTAATTTTTTAAGTTCTTGGTAGCAGAAGGGAGACTAACTAATCCTGTGCATGAACAAATTGTCATGTGTGACAAATTGTACATTTTGTCTAGCTTTTATTTTAGGCAGATGCTTCTTTCTTCTTAATTTCTGCAACTTTAAAGTGGTTTTAAAAATTTTTATATAGTACATAGCAGAGTGCTCTCATGTTTTTTACATTTGTTTCTGCATGCCATGGATGAGCAGCACTTTTCCTGACTGCTTATTTGGATGATTTAGTAATAAAGGTAGAAAGTATGACTACTTAAACTTCACTTCAAGTGAGGTTTCCTGAACTTATATATGAGGTTGCCTTTTTTTAGAATTTCTCCTGAATATATTGCCTAGTGTCTCCCTGTGGCTGGCCTCCAGTGAGGAAACCTGTCAAGAAACTTCCTGTAATAGACCAGTCCTAAATACTTGTCTGAATAATTGATCTTGTGTTTGCTCCTTTAGTGGTGGTGGGAAAAAAGTTATGTTCTATGCATTACTTTTTGGTGCATATGTGGACTAGTCTGTTAAGTAGTATGATTTTTAAAGGTTAATAATTCATTATGATTTTAGGGATCAGGTTATTATCAGAAATGAAAATGTTTTTGCTTTCCTGTTAACATTTTTGTTAAGATATTCTCTAATAGAGAATAATATCCTAGTACTGCCTGATGCTGGACAAACGTTCATAAACCTCTATGATTAGTATGAAGTGATTTTGAAATAGCTAATTTTGTTCTGAAGGAAAAATTTCAGATTTTGGATTTAAATAATCCGGGAAAATGCTTATGTAAGACAGCCCTCAGAAGTCCCATCCATGCCAATTTATTCTATGACTTTACCTTTCAAGAGTAGTATTCTGTACCTGGTAGAGCAGAGTGTAATAATGCTGATTGCAGTCATATGCAATGCAAGTCATTGCAGAGCTATAATGGGATTTTTAGCACTAAAGATAAGAAAATCAGGAAAAAAAAGTCCTAAACCAAATGAAGAGGGGAAATGAATTCTCATTAAAATAACAGAACAGTAGTTCAATTTCCACAATTCTCATCTAGTTGTCTCCCCTGAAAAGACATAAAGGAATGTTATATTGAAGGCATAGCATGTAAGAAAATCCCAAAGACTGAAGTTATTTTGCTCTTTTTCTTCCTTTCTTATGGAGATAATAATCATTAATTATTAATGTATAGCCTATTCTGTATCTGAAATGAAAGTACATGTATTTCAAAAGAAGGTGGTTGTTTAATAATTAGAATGATAGAGTCAATCTTCATGAGCAGAATTTAAAAAATATTTGTAATTGGGGATTTCTGGCTTTATCTGATTTACTTCTTTGGGTCCTGATGATTTTTAAGTGGTGGCTGACCTCCCTTTTTATTTTTATTAAGAGATTGATTTCCAGAATATCCAGAATCATTAGACTTCTTTAAAATCTTGAGCACTTGCAGCTGTATGCTGGATGTGGATAAACTTGTGAGCCTGAGAATTGCTGATGTAGGAGGTGCTGTTGTCCATGACCAATCCACAAAAGGCAAAACAGCCTTCTGAAGGCTTGCTTTCCTGTAGGGTTCTTTATCTGTTATCTTTCTATACACCAGCTCAGGTCCTTGAAAATAATGGAATTAATTAAAAAGAGAAATATCTTTAAATTACAGACAACACTTAGAAGCAAGAAAAAAGAAGAAAAAAACCCCAAAACAGTGTAAGGAGATGAGAAAGCTCTAGACCCGTGACACAGAACATGAAAACTTCTGTCTAGATAAGGGGACAATTTTACCTTTCACTTTTTTTTTTTCTCTATGATTTTGTTTTTGCCATAGGATGCAGCTACTGTGAGGCATGTATGTAGGCTTTTGGAATTTATATTAGGTTTATGAGATGTTTTATTCATCACAACATAATACAGAGAAGTACTTCTTAATCTATTGGGGATGGTAATATTGGTTATGAAAGCAGGAGCACATTTTAACTCGCACAACTTAGTCTAACATTGGCTGGACAGTGATAGATTTGTTCTGTTATAACCTGTTTTCTGTGTAGCTGAAAGCAACTCTTTCCAAACATAATTTATTTCTTCTGATGAAGCAGCATTTCAACAATCCTGTGACATTTCAAAATGACTGTGGAAAGAAGAAGAGTCTTATTATTTCCTGGTATAGGCATTTTTTTCCTGGTATTCTTATGTTCTTTTTGCTTTTAGATAACATAATTGCTTTAATGACATAATGGAAGTGTTTCGTGGAGAGTATTCAAAATAGGTAATCTCCTGTTGCAATTTTTTAAAGTTTACTGTGAAGTGCAGAAAAACTGACATGTTATGAAACCCTGTGAATCACAGTGACTGCAGAGGTGAAAGGAAAATAAAATTAATGTTTTGTCTAAATAAAAAAGCAAATGAAAAGTTTCTGCTTATTATTGCCAGATTATAAGTGCTTGCTCTCCAGAAATACTGTAATAAGAAAAAGCACTTGATGATAATATGTTAATTCATTACAGCTATTTATTCTCTCTTATTTTCTAAGTATTTCTCCTGAGTGATTAATTGAATATACTCAGTTGGAAGGGACCCATCAGGACCATCGAGTCCAATTCCTGGCCCTTTGCAGGAGATCCCAAGAATCACACCATGTGCCTGAGAGCATTGTCCAAAAATTTCTGGAGCTCAGGCTTGATGCTGTGACCACTTTCTTGGGGAGTCTGTTCCAGTGTTCAACAGCTCTCTGAGTAAAATAAGGCATTTCCTGATACCCAACCTAAACCTCCTCTGACACAGCTTCCTGCGGTTTTCTTGAGTCCTCTCACTGGTCACAAGAGTGAAGAGATCAGTGCCTGCCTCTTCATTTCCTCTTATAAAGATGTTTAAGAGATCTCTCCTCAGTCTCGTCTTCCCCAGACTGAAGAGACCAAGGCACCTCAGCCACCCCTCATATGGCTTCCCCTCCAGACTCTTCACCATCCTCTTTGCCCTCCTTTGGATGCTCACTAATGTCTGTTTCATGTCGTGGCACCCAAAGCTGCCCCCAGCACTCGAGGTGAGGCCACCCCAGAGCAGAGCAGGTCAGGACAATCCCCTCCCTTGCCCAGCTGGTGATGCTGTCTCTGATGCCCCCAGGACATGCTCGGCTCTCCTGGCTGGCAGGGCACTGCTGGCTCACATTCAACTTGCCATTGACAAGGACTCCCAGGTCACTTTCTGCAGCACTGCTCTCCAGCCTCTCATTCCCCAGTCTGTGTGCACAGACAGGGTTGTCTCATGCCAGGTACAGAATCCAGCACATTCATATAGTTGATGATTGCTCAGCTCACTAATTTCTTGAGGTCTTTCTGCAGGACTTCTCTACCCTTAAGGGAATTAACATTAACCTTCCAGGTCAGAGTCATTGGCAAACTAAGTATGCCTTTGAATCCTTTGTCCAAGATGTTGAAGAGAAGTGGGCTGAGGAAGGAGCCCTCTGGAGACCAGCTAATGAGCAGATTCCAGTCTGATGTCACCTCAACCACCACAACCCTTGATGCTCAACCCATGAACCAATTGCTGACTCATCAGGTAATGTTCAGCTGTCTTCTGGACGTCTGGTCTAGGAGGAGAGACAGTTTCCAGGGCTTTGCTGAAGTCCAGAAAAATTGCCTTTGTTGGTTTTCCTAGATCAACTCAGTGGGTTATCCTGTTGTAGAAGGAAGTCAGTTTTGATAAGCAGGAGTTCCCCCTAATGAAGATGTGCTGGCTGTCTCTGGTGACTGTGTTGTCCTCCCAGTGTTTTTTCAACACCTCCTCAATATCTTCAAAATAATAATCTTTTCCATGGTTTTACCAGGCACTGAAATGAGACTGAGAGCCTGTAGTTTCCAGAGGCCTCCTTCTTGATCTTTTTGGAAATCAGAACAAAGTTTCCAGTTTCCAGTCAGCTGAGACTTTTCTGGGTTCCCAAGACTCCACAATCATCGAGGAAGGCTTTGTGATGGTGCCAGCCAGCTCTTTGGGTATGGTCAGATGAATCTCATTAGGCCCCATAGGTTTGTAGGGATGCAGCCAAGTAGTTTAAAAGCAGAACTAAGGTGACTCTAACCTGGAATGCTGAAATTGCTTTCTCATTGGAAAAGCTGATGAGTTAGAATAAGTTTCACTATTTGCTCTTTTTATTTTGAAGCTTGTTATCATGGAGAGTCCAAATCTGTAGTAGCTTTACTCATTCAGATTTCCCTGCTTCTGCAGTGTAAGCTAACTTTTGCCGTTAAAGGTTTCCTGGACACCAGAAGTTCTTAACAGTCAGATGTGCTCCCAGGTAATTTTGCTAGTGGTCTCTCAAGAGAATAGGACACAAGAGAGGAAATACCTGTGACTGGATGACTTAGAATTTCAAAGGGCCTGGAAGGAAGCTCTGTGCTGTCAAGAAGTTGTCATAGGAAATGAGTAAGACTATAGTAGTGTCAGAAGTTGTAAATGAAACTTGGAGTCAATTGGAAAACTATTGAGGCAATGAGGCAGGCAACTGAGACTTTAATGAGCTCAGCAGTGAGGATGGATGCAGTGAGATTCACCTCACAGCATTAACTTATTTGTTCTCCCATTCAGTTATCAAAATTGTGACAGGGCTGCATTTGATTCAATATAACTGTTTTGAAGATGGCAATCTTTTGGTTTTAGATGTGTTTCGTGGTTTTGAGTAAGCATTTCCCTCATGTCTAGGTATTAGAGAGTTATTTTAAAAGTTATTATTAAAAGACATCTGTCAATCTCTTACACTGACAATGGAAGAACACAGGTGCTGTGTTGTATGTAAACACAATTGAATCAGAATTTGAATTTTCAACCCATGTGGGCAAGAGCTAAAAAGTCTCAAATTCATTTTTGACACAATGTGTTTGAATTTGGTGTGATATGTTCTCATGCTGAGCATATAAAACCTTTAAATATAAGAATGTGAAAGTCTAGGGGTACTATAAAGCTGTTATGGGTTCATAAAATTAGTTTACATAAGCCATTAAGAAGTCAGGCTCCTTAGTTATGATTGTTCTCTGTAAGCAGATTTGACAACCTTACTAAAAGTTAAGGTAGTTATTTCTCTGGAGTACGGAGAGGCCATTTGAGATGTCTTGTTTCACCCTGTTGCATCAGGCACCTCTTGATGCAAATAGAGCAGTAATAATTTAGTCCACTGTCAGTGTTGGAGTGTGACAGTATAGAAGCCATCTCATATTCCAGCTAGGGTGACATTACTTGACTACAAACAGTTACGCTGCCTACAGTTGCTGAAAATCTAAGCTGAGTAATTAGGAAAATGCAGAATACAAGAGGTGGGTTGCAATGCACAACAGTCTTAATGGTACAGAAGAAAGTGGTTTCATTAAGTGAGACACAGTGCTGTTAATAATGTGGGTTTTCTGTGGTGGTTTACAGAGAGTACTACTAGCAAAATTGCAAATCATAGAAGGATATTATTCAAAACATAACTAATGAATATCCTTCCATTAGTAGATTATCAAATAAGTGTTGGATCTTAATTCAGTAAAGAAACACGTGTGATTTTGGTTGATCAAGGTTTGGCTTATAAAGGGTTTTTCTCATTGTTATGAACAAGATGTTTCTAGGCTACAGAGATGCTGGTTTGGATTTTTTCCCCCTTGCAGTCACAAAGTAATTACTGCATGCCAAATAAACAATGTCTATGAGGTATAAGCACAAGTTACTACTTGCATACCTGTAACTTACTGAGTGCAGCATTGCTCTTTCCTTGTGGTGCCTCAATGAGAGAGCCATAGCAAAGTAGAAGCTTTGTACAAAAATGTCTGTTAAGCAGAAGTTTGCTTTAACTATTTAATCTGTTTTCTTGAAAAGGGGGAAGGATAAAACCAAACATCCTCACTGCTGCATGCTTTTGGAGGGGTTTCTAATTCAAAGAGGAAATCAGATTCCTATGCATGATGACTTAATTTGGCTTAAGAAAAAGTGTAGCTCATCCAGCTTCTGTAGATTGCTTTTTGCACTCACCAAAATATTCTTGTGCTTCTCTTTTCTTGACATAATTACTTTTCCCTCCATTTTATATTTTGTCACTCAAAGGACTGTCTGAAACTCCCACAGTTCAGTGTCCCTTTCAAGGAATTAATTGTATTTTAAAAATGTCAGGTTTTTCTTGGAAATCAGTGGTTTGTCTGTGTGTGCCTTTCCTGGACTGTTCTTTGCATGAGTTAGCTATCCTATTCTTTCCTTCAGACTCTCTGCAACACTGAGACTACCATCTCTATGCATATTTTTCTCTTCCCACTCCAATTTTCATATATATATATATGTGTGTGTGTGTGTATGAATGTGTGTATACAGATATGCATACAAAGTATTTTTGAAAGATGAGTCATAAGGATGTATTTATATATTGCTATTTTTGAAGAATAAGCAGAAGTACTATTAAAGTGAGAAGCATTGATGGGCTCATCCCACTTTTTAATTTGACTTCTTATCTATAGACAAGTACAGGATGCCTTAAGCAATGTCTCTTTACCGCAATATCTCCTACCCACGAATTTTATTTTTTTTTTTTGTTCTTACAGCCTTTCCTCCTTTGTTTCATTTTCTTAGAAACAGCAGTATAGTTAATATGATGCTCAAACTGGTACCTGGCTCTTTCTGAGTCAGGCAAGTTGTACCTGCCAGAACTGAAAAATGAAAAGATCTGCTACTCCTATGCCTAGCTGGGGGTCTTATGACATAAAACAAGCCATTTAATATTGAAACTGTAGGCAAGGCTTAAAAAAGGTGCCTGTCCAAATATGTGTTCTGTCTGGTTTTTATCTCTTTTCTTTATTTATTTTTTAACTTCTGGCAAAGGTCAGAAAAATATAGTGACGAATTTGTATAAGGACATTTCCAGCTGCTCATTTGGCATTGTAACAGGATAGTAAATGATTCTCATTTCCGGTCAAAAAGTGAGATGGTCTCTGATAGAACTACTCTCATAGTTAATATTATTTAGTGTCATGATTTTGAGGGTAATCTTCTGTTTTGTGCTGGAAATACAAGGTGTGTTCCATTTGCATAAAGGTTAAAATATTTTAAATTTCCTATTGGCAGCGAATCTAAAAAAAAAATCCTACCATCTCAGAAGAGTGTTTTTCTTCACTTAGTAATGTAGCATTAGAAAGGTATAGCTGATTGTGCCTCCTCTGCTAATGACCCTGCTGCATATGATGCTGTTACTACAGGCAGCCAGGGAGATCCTGGTTTATTGCTATGCTGTTTATTGGGATGGGTGTTCGACTTGCAGCTCTCTTAGTAGAGTGGATGATAAAGGAACACTTAAGTTAAATTGAGAAAACTGAGGATCTTTCATTGTTCCAGTAATCTGAGTAGATGAGGTGCCCATACCATCATAATCAGAACTAAACCACTGAGAGTATGGTCTCAGGTTCACTCTATTAAAATCCTTAAGTGTTTTCTTAATTTGTTTTATTAATGGCTGAACTTCAGTTGCTGTAATTGCCAGGCCTCTGGATCTTGATGTTCCCCTTAAAGAGAAATCAATGCTCTGCTGCCAGATAGGGAGATGATAAATCTCAAATTTTATGAGCTAAATCAGCTGTTAAAATGTTGATTCTGCTGGAAACATACTGTTAGTGTGATAGCTGTGTATTTATTCACACAGCACTTAAAATTTGTGTTAAGGGCTGGTAATGGACAAACAGCTGATTCAGTGCATAATGAAGTGGATATGAAAAGAATAGCTAACAATTACCTGGGAAGTATTCTACTTGCCTCCGCCTGTCCATGTTCAGTGGAATTTCTTTGTTTTTATGGTATTTTTTAGATATCCCACAGCTATTTTTCCATTCAGAGATCCAGCATATCTGGGTACACATGCAGGTAAGGAATCTAGCACATACGTGATAGATCTGCTAGAAAGCAAGTGTTTTCAAAAGTGGCTTGTGTATATGAGGTACATTTGGCATCTGATGCACTTAGACTGCTCTGGGCTTTCATACATGTGAAACTTGTAAACTGTTTTACACACATCAACAGCATGAACTGTTTTATTCTTGAAAAAGTCACAGGTCAGGGCAGCTATGGTTCTCACTGAAGAATGAACTTGTTGTTCATCCCCAAATTTTAAGCAGTGACTTGGTACATTAGGAATGCATCCTGTTGGTTCCTCTAAGACTCCTGGAGGGCTAATGCAATATGGAATAAATAGGACATTTAAAGTCACTTACAATTTTTTTTTTTTGATGCCAAGTTGCAGCAACCAGCTCTTGATTTCTTAAAAACTGCTCTGAGCTATAATAGTCTTAATATCAGTTAGTTTAAAGTTCAAGGCAAGCACCACTATTTTCTCATTGCATTTAGGAATGTTTTTTTGCAGATGATGATATGCTTTTTCTTTGCCTACTTCAACATGGCATGAGGAATGTGAGAAGTCAGAAATTCTGGCCTAATCATTTGCCTTATTTCATTGCAAGAGATCTCATAATTGAACTGCTGAATTGTTACCCCCAGAGAGGTAAGATGAAATTAGGAAAGGGAATAATAATTAAAATATATTTTAAAACATGATA